TTTTTTTTTTTTTTTCTAGTTTATATTTCAGGTCAGTTCATGTCCCCTAAAATAATTTTTTTTACCAACTAAATTAACAATCTTTGATGTTTTTGCTTTGCCCCCTAAACTATTTGTTCTCAGGAGATCATCTACTATAAGAGCAACTCTGAGTAACTCCAATCTACTATAAGAGCAACTCTGAGTAACTCCAATGATGCGTTGCTCAAGTGTAAAGTTTGATAAAATTAGAATACAATGTTGTGCTATATCGCTACACTATAGAGTAATGAACAATTTTGGCGCGATATGATTTATTACTCTACATTTTTTTATTTATTTTTTATTATTTTTATATTATATGTGTATTTGATTTATCTCAAAATAATTATTTGACAAATTTATGCCAATGCATTTATAATTTAATTTTAGAATTATATGAAAATACTGTTTTTAAAAATCTTATATTTATATTGAATTACTATAAATGAATAAAGTAATATACAAAAAACAATCTCGTCGTTTGCCCTGCCTGTCTTCCTATGGTGTGTTTCAAGCTACCCAAAGTAGTGTGGCAGGACATTTGCCGGCTGTCAGCCCAATTCTGGTGGAGTAAGAACAATGGCCAATCTCGTGGAATCCATTGGAAGTGCTGGACTAACATGACTCAGCCTAAGACTATAGAATAAAAACCATAGATTAGGAGTCATGGCGGGCTAGGATTCCAGGATCTGCAAAGATTTAACGAGGCAATGATTTTGACATCCCTTGGAGTTGCTCACAGTCTGGGTACGCGAGTTGATGAATTTGCAGGGATCGGGATGGAATGAGGAGCTGATTCGGCGAAAGTGCAACGACAAAGATAGTAATGCAATTCTAGCCATTAAGTCTATCCAGGCCGGGTCGCCTGATAGGTGGAAGTGGCTTTTCGATGAAAAGGGTAACTTCTCCATGGCTAGCTCTTATTCCCATCATAAGGATGATAAAGCGAATAAACTCGGTATGGCGGGAAGCAGCCGATCAGCTGGTTTGGACAAAAAGGCTAGAGAAAGGAGCTGGAGATTACTAGTCAAAGAAAAATTGAAGCATTTCGTATGGAGGAGCTATTTAGGCATCCTACCAGTCAGTTGTAAGATTGAGAAGAAAGGAGTGCAAGTCCATGTCATGTGTTCGATGTGCCGTGAGGCAGAGGAGACGATGGAGCATTTATTTTTTAGATGTAGACGTGCTAAATTGGTGTGGAAGAACTCTCAGTTAGATTGGGACGAAGAACACATGAATGACTCAACCTTCAAGCAGTGGTGGTGGCAGTTGTGCACGGTTGCCAAAACAAAGATCTCCGAGGCCCGAATTCAATCATCCACTTACCTGTTGTGGTGGCTATGGAGGTCGAGGAATTTATGGTTGTTCGAAAAAGTGTGGATTCCTATACAGGTGGTGACCAAGCGAGCGTGGCTTGAGTGGCAGGAATTTGAAAAAGTGGCCAGGCTTGGTAAGTGATCAGCTTGTTCGGAGTTTCTGTTTGCATTGGGTTGTCTGGCTTTTGTTGTTAGTAGTGTTTCGGGCTATTTTGGGTTGTCTGGCTTTTGTTGTTAGTAGTGTTTCGGGCTATTTTTCTTCTCTGTATATTTTCATTGTGTTGCGGGCTGTTTTCTTTTCTATTTGTTAAGTTAGTGTTGCGGGCTAGTATTTGGTGTATTTTGGTTTGTGGCCGGTTTTGCTGTTAATAGTGTTAGGGGATGTTTTGGTTGCCTTTTGGTTTCTTGATGGTCTAAACCGGGTAAAGGATCCAGGGTATTAGTCCCTGCTTTAGCCGTGTTGCGGGTATTTGTTTCTAGACCACTGTTGAAGTGTGTCTCCCAATTTCGTCTATTTTATTGGAGATTTCTATCGTTGGAAAAAAAAAAATCGGAAAGTCCTCACCGACCACTACATGGCCTTCGCTATCGTCCCCTCCGCCAGGATCTAGAAAGCCTCCGCCACAAGGCATCTCGGCTAGACGAGCTTAGCCACGGATGGGAACCAGAGCAACTGAGCAACCACCACCTCGCCGTGTTTCGAAACTCGGATCTGGGCGACTCCAATTACAACCAACATTTTCAATGTATTTGTGATTTTTGGCACATCATTTAACATATACCATGTCAGCCAGAAATAAAGTCCACATAAGAGTAAATGTCGGACACGCTGACAAATATGTCGTCGCCACGGAGTTTGGGTTCGAGTTGCAAACTTTACACAAGACCATATACTTTTTTTTTTTATAATATTAAAAAATTTGGTTAAAATTGTAAAAATTATATAATCAAGATATTTTCAACAATTAGGCAAATATTATATCACTTAAATAACTAGACCGATCTAACATATACATCAAGAATATCACAAATCGAAAATACTTCATTACGTTGCATCTTGTGCCCCACCCTTTTATAACAAAAACTTGAAATACTTTCCAACTTGGACGGGCTCCAAGATACGTGCACCACCACAATTACATACTCATCCACACAAAATGTGATTTTATTTTGCCCATCCTTTGTTTTCTTCTTAATTCCCACATCAACCCCAGCCAATACAACACCCCCTCTTCCCCCTCCATTTTCGCATCCCATGGCAAAAATCAGGGGATTCCGGCTCGGTCGCCGCCTCGTCAGCATCTTACGGCGGCGGAGATCTGCCGCCTACCACCGTCTGGAACCCCCGGCGGGCCCCGTCTCCAAGCTCCGCGGATGGCTTCACTTGCTGGGTCGCAGGGCCCGCCGAGCCAAACCGGGCGGCTATGCACGGCTTGAGGAAGAGCAGGCCGAGCGGCAGCCCAATAAGCCGCCGCCCAAGGGCCACATGGTGGTGTATGTTGGTGACGGGGAGGAGGAGGCGTGCCGGGCTGTGGTGCCCGTCGTGTACTTCAACCACCCGTTGTTTGGGGAGCTGCTGACGGAGGCCGAAAGGGTCTACGGGTTCGACCACCCGGCCGGGATTATCCAAATTCCGTGCCCGAAATCCAGGCTGGAGAGTGTACGGACGAGGATAGCCGCCACGAGTGGCGGCGGTATCGGTATGTGGCGGAGAAGGAGGTGGAGTGGAGCCAACTCGTGAGATTCGTTTATGATGGTTAGACTGTGGTTGATTACTTCTAATTTAAATTAAAACACCTATTATATGCTTAATTAAATGTTTTAAAGGTTGATGTTCATGAGTTAATTAGAAGTTGAGTTGTACATAACGTGTTATAGCACATAAAAAGTTCTTCAAAAAGTCTAGGAATTTGGCATTTCCAATGCTATATTAAGGGATTTCCTAAACTACTCGTCTGCTTACTGAACAATTGATTAAATTGTATTTATGGTGTGTGTTCAAAAACAGTGAGATTTTGACATTTTCAATGCTAATAAATAATTCAAAAAAAATTCAGAAAAATTAGATAGATGCATAAGGAAAATTTTTCCATATAAATAATATTGTACTCATTTCATATTGTAATGTCCATGTGATGTAACAGTAGATACGAGGATGAAATTTTATCAGCATGTGTATTGTGTACGATGAACACAAATTAGCTTGTGTGTGTGTGTGTGCATATATACATTTAAAATTACAACTTAATTTTGGACTTACGATTTATTGAACAGACGAACTCCAACTGGTATGAAATTTTGGGTATACGATCGTCCTGACGAGAAGTATCAACGGTGAATTACACTATAATCGCCATGATGAGATTGATCCCTCAACACCAGAATTAGGTTGATCGAAAATAGAACAACTCCAATTATGTTGACGAAAAATTAAGTAGGCAAACAAAATCTAATTGAGTTATAGGTTTCTAGTTATGACTATCTTGATGAGACAAATCCAACATTGAGTTAACTGACTAATACATACGCATGAAGGCATTAAACTGCCTCCAGATAGAGAAGAATGAATTTGGACCCAAATTATTTTGGATGAAAAACTAAATAAGCAAACGAAATTGAATTGAGATAAAATTTTGTAGGTACAATTTGTTCAGCTAAAAAAACTAGATGGTGGGTCATGCACGTGCTATATGACACCCAAGTTTTTTAAGGCTATGTTTGGTAAAACTAGCTGATAAGTTAGTTGATAGTTGATAAGCTAGCTGATAGCTTATATGAAATTTTCGAGCTTATAGCTTATAGTTTATGACTTATAGCTGAAAAACTAGCTTATATGATAAAAGTGTTTGGTAAAATTAGCTGATAAGCTAGTTGGAATAAAAAATTCAACTAGCTTATTTGAAAAGCTACCTAAACAAGCTTATCAAATAAGCTTGAGCTTTTTAAATAAGCTCGTCCTACTACACGGGCTTATTTGAATACATGAAGCTTATAAGTTAATCAAATAAGCTATAAGCTAGCTTATTTGGTTCACCAAACATAGCCTAAATCGAATAGAAAACAACTCAAATTATTTTGGATGAAAAATGGGTGCGCAATGAACTCTGATTGGACTTAAATTTACGAATTCGACCCTCTAGAATAGAATCCAACGATGGGTTTTTCATGTGAAACTGAGGTCATACGGCGTTCAACTAATATTGGAAAGGAAACAACAAATTTTATATTGTTATTCGTAACTATTGTACATTAAAATAAAACAAAATGAAACTTATACATTATTAAAACATTATTGTACGTAACATTATTTATTTGGTGTTTCGGTACATCGTCTATCGCATTGCATAACCAAGTATAACAGAGATTTTACAACGTCTTTCTTGATAATCTAAAGCCTTATCTATATATATATAATTACTAGCTCTTCTACATTTAAGAAAACCTCATAAATTATACCTAGGTGTCACTTTTACATTTTCCCCCCAAAAACCGTTACTTTTCATTTATTTAACCTAATTAATAGATAATCAATACACTAATCAATTTAAAATACAAAAATCATTTTGAACTTTTGATTACTGACAGTTAACCATATAATGTGTTACCGTATAATGTGATTAGTTATTATTATTGTGGTTACATGTAAATTATTTTTTTTGGAAAATAAAAAAAGTATATGAAACTCCTAAATAAATGATAAATAATTTTAAAAATATTACATACCAAAATATACGTTACATCCAATCTAATAAACGCAATTTAACAAAAATTAACTCCTTTAATTGTAAATTTGGCTGCAAAAACGTGAAAGAAAAATAATTAATCATTATATGCAAACAAATAACTCAAAATATTTTATTTACATTTGTGCAAATGCATAGGTAGAATACTAGTTATTTTAAAATTGTAAATTACTTAATTTAATGAAGAGAAAAATTGTGTAAGTGTATGCAATCAATTTCAAATTTGTATTCTAGAGGATTAAACAAAACTCAAAGTTTTAAAATTTTCAAATTCGATTTCATTTTGAATTTCAAATTAATATTATTTAACTCTGTTTTATGTTTAAAAAAAAATCCGAAATTAAGAAAGTATCAACCAAATGATAAGATGTTTTTAAATTTCAATGTTCAATTTGAAATTGATGCAATCCGATTTTTTTAAATAAACATTATCTGTTGCAATTAGGTAAATATGCATTATATAATATTTTTCCTAATTCAAAATTCTCGATTTTATGGTAAACAATTTTTTGAAATAAAAAATAAGAGAATTTTGACTTTTACAAAATTGTCATGGCGAATTTTACCTCAATTAACCCGATTTCTATGCAATTCGATTTTTTCTAATAAAATGATGTGTTGCAATTAAGAAAAGATATATGTGATAGTATTTTGCCTAATTCAGAGTTCTCGATTGTATGGTAATTATTTTTTTAATAAAAATTGAGAAAGAAATTTTGGTTTTTTCAAAATTATAAGCATCAGTCAAAATTTATTTAAATTAAATCTACAAAACCCATGAATTTATAATGCATATATAGCATATTGATTTTTTTGAGAATAATTTAAAAAGAAAATTAAAAAATTACAAAAAATAGAATATATTAAATTTTGATATGTTGTAATATAGATTGACAATATATAAAATCTATGTGTAAAATAGACAAAGATAGAAACAGTAGAAGAAGAAGAGAATAAGAGAGAAGAGATACGCCGTTAAAACCATCATCTTATTCATTCACTTGAGCCCTATATATAAGGGAATATAATGTACATGAGTAAATACCTAATGGGCTCCTGGCCCATGCCTACAAATCCTATATCTAGGTAATGTCCACAACTTAATATTTAACAACACTCCCCCTTGGACATTACCGCATCATGTCCATGCCTCGTTAAAAACCACGCTACAAAAACCCAGTGGGAAAAAATAGTCGAGGAAAAGAGTACATGACACATGCAAATTTATGTGTTACACTTGTTGCCTCGTTAAAAACCTTACTAAGTAAAACCCAATGGGAAAAAACTTAGTCAAGGGAAAAAGAGTATAACACCGGCCAACAGGGCCTAATCTTCAGGATTATAATTAACCTTCCGGGTTCGATCTTCGAGATTTATTTATCGCTCTCCCTGAAGGGAAAACCTGTTTAGTTTCATTCA